AGAAGGACAAGGGTGGGGGCCTGCTCGTGAACGCTACCCGTTCTAATGCGTTTGTGAAAAACATCAGAATTGACCAGTATCAGCTGTACTGGGCAGGGTGTGGTTATTCTGGGCTTTAAGTCAGTAACTTGGAAGCTGTAGACAAGTTTTACACAGTTTTTAGAGAAGAAAACGGCTTCTCATACAAACCTAGTAAAGAACCTGAAGCTTGGCTTTGGCAAGAAACTATGTCCGCCTTGCCTCCCAGACACCCCTACCAGTACGCTCAGATCCCGCCTGAACACCAACGCTCCGCGCTCAGTTCCCACAAGCGCCTCCGTTTTGCCTTAAAATACGCCACTACTCTAACGCGAAGCCTCCCGCGAGCAGCCTCGGCGGTGCGGAGTTATGTCGCTGCTGGATGATCCCAGCCCCGCTCCTGCTCCTCACTTCGCAGGACGCTTTAATAGGAAATCTTCCCAGGAGAGATTTTGTTAATCCCAGACAGTTCTGCACATTCATTTCTCCGTGGGTTAATAACTTCAGAACTCGCACCAAAATAGTAAGCTCTGTACTGGTAATTTTACAATAAAAGGTGGAAGTAGCATTCGTAATTTGGCAATACTGGTAGCAGAGTTCAATACTAGCAGGAGAAACACTAGCAACACCGTCACTTCGCACACTCTGCTTTCAGCGTTTCACCTCCCCTCTTTCCTGTCACCTCTTTCTAGAGGGGAGGTTTACTGCGACAGCTGTATTTCCTCACCTCCAGCGTCCCCGCGACTATCGCCCCTGCGTTTGGGGCCGGTAATTGTAAGCGTAACATCAGACAGATGTTATTCTGAGCACGCTAAGGTAACGCTCCCTTTGCAACAACGGCAGCACAGAAGATTTTTGGCACCGAGAGCGCTGAAGGATGTCAGGAGCAGCGGGGAAGGGCTGTGTTTGCACAGCGCAGTGGCCATCGCAGGGTGCCGGTCGGAGCCGCGCTGGATGGCCGTTCTGCGCCGGCGGCTGGCCAAGCCGAAGCCGCTCAAGGACTACCTTGGCTCCGTCCTCTTGCCCCACATTCCCTGTCCTTCCTACGTGCAGCACGGCAGCCAATGACAAAAGGACTAAAACTGCACCGAAGACGCTACGGAAAGTAGGGCACGGTATCTTTCATATCGACCTGTTAACTGTAACTTATCTACGACTTCTCTTAGAAGCTAATTATTTTCCACATTTAAATTAGGGTAATTAGATCAGCATAGGAATTGAAATAAACCCAAATGCTGGTAGCCTTGTGAGGATTTTCTGAAATGGGGTTTTGTATTCCATCTGCACTTCCTTCCGCTAAGGGAAGAGAGTAAGTGTCCCCAAAGACAAGAACGGCAACGTGATCCCTTCCTATGTTACCAGTTACACACCACCACCCCGTCTGCCTCAGTAATTGCCACACAGCCCTTTGCATAAAGGGAGTAGGAGTACAAGTCAAGGAACCCTGCGAGGAAGCAGACTCCCTTCCAAACTGTGAGACAAGAGATGCACCTCAGATCTTGTTTCTGCGTCGCACCGATACCGTCACTGAAATGCAGCCAGGCAGGTCTCGGCGTAACGGTTTGTCAGCAGCTGTCCAGTCTTCTGATTTTCAGACGTCCATTTTACATAGTTCTCTCGTCCACACTTTGTGCCTACGGCTCCACCTTGCTCGAAAGGCCGACGCTGTTCCCACCTCTGCATCCTCTCACGGCAAGGCCAAATGCTGCTGTGTCGGGAAGCAGCAGCGCAACAGACAGACACTAATCCGTGAATTTGCTTCTTCCCTCACCTTCCTTCTACGGTATTTGCACATAATACACAAGAACCTGTTGTTATAAAGCACAACAGAAGAATAATTTGATCCAGGGAGAAAGAAGGCATTAAAAAAAAAAAAAAGAGACTCTGACTCTGCTGCAATGTAAAGAAGCTTAACCTATTTACGTTTTAAGGGAGAAAAACCACCAAATAGCCGCTTATCTGCCCTTTCTTCCTCTCCAGGTATCTATGTTGTACACATTGTCTTCACTTCCAAGCATTCCTGTTTAACTTGAAAGCAGGCGCCTCGCTACAGCTGGTACAGCCTTCCGCATAGGAGGATCCATTTCCAGGCAGGTTCCTCCTTCCATACTTATGTGAAAACTGGGAAAAAATGCGCCGTGTCTAGAAGAGAATCGGCCTTGTACCTCATGCGCGTCTGGCAAGAGGCAGAGCGAGGCAGCACAGCCTTTTTGTTCAGGGATTGCTGTGATCAAGAACCCGTGTTATTTTCCAAACAAGAAACCATAAAAGAACATTTATTTGAAAATGAAGAAAGTGTCTCAGAAAAAACGCTCAACTTTCAATGGCCTTTAACAAAAGGAGCTGCAACGTCTGAATTTTGACCACACCTGAGAAATAAATTCCAAACAACGATGCAGAACGTAAGTTGATTCGTGACATTTTTGGACAGAGGAAGATGTATCATAAAGGTCACTAAAAACACATTAGAAAAATAAATGCATGGAAGGTGTTTTGAAAGCTTAAATAAAGGGAAAGGAGAGGAAAAGAGAGAAAGATAAAATACAGGAAGATGACTCAGGAACTTCTAACAAAGCGCCAGACCTGACACCAATACTCGCTGTGGTCAGTGACAAGTAATTTAACCTCCCATGTAAAATGAGGATAGTAGCAACCTCTTGAGGCATTGGGAGACTTAATTAGTTGCTATTCGTAGATTAAACAGAAAGTCTGAAGGTGAAAGCACTAAATGCTAAGTATTATTAGCTTCTCAAGTATTAATTTCTGTAAGCGAGCAACCCCAACATTACAAAAAAGTGGATCAGTGTCAATTTTTGAAAGAAATTTATTCTTACGGCTCTATCATGTCAAAAAGGTACCCACACAGGGAACTGTGCTTTTAAAAGTGGTAACTGGTAACACATCTCTGTAATACACAACGCAGCTTGTCATCTTCAATGCAGAGTTTCTGACTCCTACCCAAATTTACATTCCCCATTCCGTAACAGGAAACATCGTGTCATCTTAACCAAACAGTGAAACTTGCGCTGCTCCGCATTCCCGCTGTGCTCCTTATGAAAAGCTCGCAAGCATTGATTCATTAACACAAGGCACGTTCGCTTGTGCGGCTGAGCTCTTCCTTACACTGCCTGAGCCCTCCGTAGCCGGCGCTGGACTTCCCACCCCAGCCATACCAGTGGGGTTGGGGCTGGTTTCTCGGCTCTTCCAAGGCAGAGATAAATGACCCTTGTAGAAGTTCCAAACCAACAAGAAAAAGAAAAGAAGGGCAAACCCAGGCCCCAAGAGTTTTAAAACAAGCTTCTCTCTTGGGCTGTCCGCAGATTTCGGGTTTGCTGCCTCGCTCAGTACAGAAGGGGGTACTGAAGACCGAAACCCCTCAGCTCCTGCTTTGTTATGCTTCTTTGCTACGGCAGTAACATCTGCTTCCTCTGTCTTTTCTTGGGCATAAAGGGCATAGCGGGCCACAGTGGTAAGGAATTCCTTCCCTTTGGATTTCTCTACCGAGAGACAGTCATAGAATCCAGCCGCATCCACTGTCACATTAAATATGGCTATTCCTCTGTCATAGAGGAGGTATTTAGAGTCCTCGGCCTGAAGTCTGCTCCCATTAAACTTCCACACTACGCTTGCCAGATTCGACAGAGGAACACATTTAAGGTGAACATTGTTTCCAAGGGTAAAGAGACATTTCCTCACACTATTTTCTGAAATTACGAAGATAATTTTTTTTAAGTAAGAACACTGGGGATTTAATTTCACTTACATAACCAAATACATATTCAAATAAATATAGAATTTAATTCACCAGTCTGGCAATGGGTAACGAACAGGTAAGGGGTAAAGACAAAGAAATCCCGTTACTAACAGGTCTGACTATCAGCGACATCTTGCTGGCCTTATTCTCAGAATGAATACAGGACTAGAAGTTTAAGACTTCCAGATTTTAATGGGGTTTTGCCTCACCTGTATACATAGCCCTGCATAAATAAATTCACCTTTGTATGCCTCAACTTCTATATTGGTTAATGACATCTCTTCACAGAAGCGCTTTGATGTTTAGATGTGCCTGCACAATGCTTGTATCAGCTACGTAAAAGTTCCCCAGCTGTCCCACTGATGGCCTTATTATCGTGCAGTCTAAAATATACCAGACTAAAGACAGCTCTGACTTTAAAGAGACGCAAGTGGAGGTAAGAGAGACATCCTGTGTCGCGAAGAAAGCAATGTATCTTGCAACTCATTACGAAGTCACTGCATAATACTACCGGATCACACACACCGGCAGTTCTACATGAAAAATAATTAATTTCCCAATCCCACTAAAATATTGATTTTAAATGGCCGATAACGAATAGCCTTCTTTTTAAGTGTACTCTTGAATAGTATGTCGTGTATCTGCCCAGCAGCATCCCGAAGCAGTGACAGATTTAACAGGACAGCTGATGTGTCGTGTGATTTCTGCAAAGTGGGTGTGGGAGGGACACCAGTAACTTCAAACGGGTCACATTTACGCTTCTCTTGAGAGTGAGAGTTTCGGTCTGAAGTACTCTGACATTTAGATTGAGAGGGTTAAGAGCATTAGGCAGTACCAGCTCAGTGTGGTTTTTTTGGTCTTAGTTCAAAAGTCATAATCAACGTGATTTTAATTCTGTGGTTTTCTGTAATGCAAGAATTCCGGTGAGCACAAAGCACTTTGGTTGCATGAAGTTAAAATATTCTTTCTGAAAAGAAAAGATCACATACCTACACTAAGGCAGCTGGAAGCATCTCCATATTTCACACTTTGAATTAAATTCCTGAAAAAAAAAAAAAAAGAAAACAAAAAATCCCCAAACCCAAACAGATGAAAACACAGACAAGAAATGTTCCAGCTTGTGTCATTCCATTTCTAGGACTCATCCTAGTTTTGTGTTGCAGACATGAAGAGTGCCCTGATAAAGCGATCGCACATCGGGTGTGCAGCTGAAGCAACAGCTTTTTACTTACTTCGTGTGAGCGGTTCGATTTGCCAGCAGAACGCATTCATTAGCAGACTGAGACCATGCGCAGTACGGGTCCCTCGCCAGGATGCAATCCACGCAGTACTTGTAGCGGTGGCACTCAGAAACTGGAAGCTGCACCACCTGAGACCGGGAGCCTACGTAGAGCATTCCCTAGAAAAGCAGGAAGGAGTTCTGTTACGGTAGTGAGATTTTATGCTGTTATTTTCTAATAGGGATTGTAAGATTTTCTGGTATTTGTTACAAATATCAGGAAACGAAAAATCTCGTAAGAAAAGATGGTGATAGGAATGAGAAAAAACCCTAGCTTTCCACAGCGTGTAAAACGACAGAGTTCCTTCCCTAACTTTTTAATGAACATAAAGGCTTGTTTCAGTTCTATTTTGACACATCTTCTACAGAAAAAAGATGTTCCGTGCTTCTGTTATTAACAAATACACGATAGAAGCAGAATTATGAGACGCTTATGGGCCAGAAGAACACCACGGAAGAGCAAGGCCTGAGGCAAGCTATTACAGCAGTCACTTTCCATATGTAGGGACAGAAGTTGTACCTTTTCAGAAGACAACTGGAGAGACTGCACAGGCTCAGGAGACGGGAACAGCTGTAGCTCTTCCACAATGAACATTTCCCCCTCACAGTTGAAAGCTTTATGCAAATATCCATCATCTACATAAAATGAAATGTATTTCTAAAGATAAACTTGTTTAAACATAGCATAACATTTTAGCCTGATAATTCATGTTGAAATAGATCGAGATTTAGAAGACATTCCTGGGCACAGGGAATTTTTGAAATTCTTCAAAGCAATTCTTGTTTTTTTCTTTCAATAAGAGAGAAGCAATGATTTTTTTCAGGGGAAGAAAAGACCTCAAACAATCCCTGAATTTGCAAATATTATCATGTCAAGTCTCCTTTGATATGGAAAGTCTCTAAAGAGAGCCTTTTAATGTCCAACGAGCCCAACACATTTAATCTAACTGGGATGAAAATATTAAACTAGCAAGACAGCTTCTGAATGCAAAACTTCAAACAGAGCTGACGAATACTTTTACTTTTTTGAAGTCTCAGAAAAAAATTCTGCAACAAAATACATAAAAATGTATAGTATCTTTTCCTAAAATACAAGCACTTACCTGTTCCTAGAAACATAACATCGTACGTTTGTTTATCTAGGCCGGTGACTCTGTCTACTACAATCCTGGTGTAGCTGGAACCTCTCCTCAGTAGCACCGGTCTATTACCAATCGGATTTACAGACTTATCCATTAGAGGGTGATCTCTAACAAACTGCAAAACTTTGTCAGGCAAGTCAGAAGAAGTATTATACCCAATACTCCGGGCAAAATTATCAATGCACTAGAAACAAAACATAATGAACGTGACTACAATGGCTTTTACATTTTGCCAAGGTCTGTAGAAAAGGTGTATTTCCTTCTAAACATTCAGTTATTTCTACTTATCTTCAAAGATAAAAATCATTCTTTTCCTCATGCTTTATGAACTAGCTAATAACCCCACGTCTCTCGTGGAGCGGAGCTGTAAGCAAGGCAGCTTTTCTAGGAACCTTCGTATGATGGAATGAGAAAGCAGGGATCTGATTATAAATGCTGCATTTATATCAGTAAAACATGAGCTTATGATTTGCTACCACAAAAGAGAATCCAGAGGCTGTTAGTTAATTAGAACAAGTAAATTCATATTTACAGCACCAGGACGTGGAACTGGCACTTCTCCCCTGTATACCATCCACTTAACAGCGGAATGCTCTACAGTTACTGGTCCTTTGTAGCTTCCTTTGGAGAAGACTTCCTGAATCTTTTTCATACTGTAGGCACACACAGCTGATATGTCTAATCTTCCCCTTAGAAGAAAAAAACAACAAAACAACACACAAAATAAAAGCAAGTTTTATTGGCTTTTCTATAGAAAGAAATACTGTAAAATAACCCAATCTCCACAGTGCACGCTGCTGTATCTTTTTCAGGATTAGTCAAAAGAGACCTAACACTAAAAATACTTCTCTGTTGCAGTTTCCATGATTCACTGAGAAGAGAATAAAACAAAGACGTTCATAAAAGATGCTATTAAGTATGTATTTGTTAAAAATCAAGTAACCGCCCTCAAATAAACTGAAACAACTTGGAGAATGAGGACCTTTTGACAACCGTTCTTGTAAGCAGACAGGTGAGCCCAAGTGTTAAGGTAACCAACGCTTTGACAGGATCCTCCTCCCTTTGGCTCCACACTTCTGACACAGACCATTAATTCTTCTCCTAATCCCTCTAACTCACCTTGGTGAAAAACACCGTACTTCTCCTCTTTGCCTCCACTTATAATCGTTTTCAAAATGACTGAAAACGTAGGCGGACTTTTAGGAGTGTCAGGATCAGACACTGATGTCATTTCAGTTCCACCAGTGAGTAACAAGAGCCTAAGTCTCTTTCCCACACCCAAAGGAATAAATGTTCTACAAATTCCTGTCTTCGGACACAGTGAACCCAACCTGCCCTAACCAGAAACAGAACTCACGTCAGCTCCCGTGGGTATAAACTGACGGGTAAAGAGGTGGCGGCAGGTGACGCTGGACAGTGCTGACTGTGCTGCATGCCGGTAATTCTGATGCTTTTGTGAAACATGAGAATTACCTACTCACGACTACTTTGTCATTGGTATTTGTTGACATGTAAAGTTTTGATACACTTTCTCTTGTTTTTCTTCAGAAACAAGAGCATTAAGAAAAAGCTAGTTAATCCTAAAGCTTGTACGGTATTTGTTTGGAGTTCTGTTTTCATTTTCACAGAATATTACATTAGATGAGCAGGCCATGACAGATACTTCTCTTGGAACAGGAGAGTAATTCTGCACCTTGAAATGTCAGCTACTTCCTTTAGTGCTACAAAGACCAGAAGAATCCAGGGCTTTGTGTATGTAATTATATAATTTTATATGTAATTAGTTTTAATTGCCCCACCATCCGACTAGAGAAAACATAACTCTCAAAACTTGGCTTAGGAGAAGCTTTTGGGTTGTCTTTTATTGAAGACTTTGGCCCAGGAACCAAAAACGTTTTGTTTCGGATGATAACATTTGCTCAGTTGGATCAAGGTGTAGGAAAACCAAACGTGGTGCATTAAAACACGCAGTGTAAGCAGCCGGTAGCTGCTCGTTCGGAGTTAAAGCCAAAAGGCTGTACTCGGGCTGGTAATACTGAAGTGAGAACCCTTACCCAGTTCACTACAAACTTTAGTAGCATACGTAGCCCCCTCTCTCACCATTGTTGGGAAAAAATTCCATAAAATATGCTGTCCTGCCACTTTCTCCTCCTAAGTAAAAAGATGTCCTGGACAATATTGAAATGGAAGCTCAATTCTGGAATGGAACAGGAAAGGCGGGATTTTAAAAATGACGTCCATCTTCTCTGCAATATGCGTTTTCCACCAAGATCACCCTAAATGAAGGAATAACATCAACACTGTAGAATGCGTAAAGAAATAGACATAATTTTCACCTAGTAGTGTTGCTGTGGGGAAGAATATAGTTGGCCTTTCAATACAAATCTCAGTTCAAAGGCAAAGAACAAAGGTTTAAACGTCAACTGCAACCTGAACAGCCCGTTCTGTTCTAGCAGGAGAAAGAGGAAGCCAGTTCAGAAATAAGATGTAGATGACAGAATTTGGTTTGGTTAGCCAGTGTAGATACCACTGTTAATCACTGACTATGAAACTTCATCTGAAATATACCGAACAAAATCTATACGCTACAAACACTAACTCTGCAGATACGGGCGATTCTGGACACCAGAAGCTTGTCATAGAATTCAAATTCAACAGCTGTTTCAGTGAAGAACACATAAATTTTATCATCATCTCCATTTGGATTAGATTCACTTTCATGCACTATTTCCATGTTGACAAAGCTTGGTTCTGAAACACATAAATACACAAAACATTTTAAGTTTATTCCAAGAGAAATATAAATGCCATATGTTATTTTAAAATTAAGTCTAATTGAACTTTTTTGTGGACTAGTGGACAAGGAGAGGGCTGAAAAGTATTTATGAGTCTATCCAACTTTAAGAGAAGGCACTGTGCTTCCATAAATGGAAAGGGGCTGTGGCTCATCGCATCACTGTAGTCTGTAGTCATGAATTTCTTTTAAATTCTGTCCTTAGTTTAAAAGCTCACACTACAAAATCAATACATAACATCCTACTACATTCTAGAGAGAATTCATACACCAAATTAAAGTTCAAGAGACTGGAATATATAAAAAACCTTCTTACCATTTAGCCACAATGTTTTAAACTCCGATCTCACAGGATTTCTCATACTGCGAAGTATTATAGGTTCTGTTCCCAAGAAATTATTTGAAGTAGCCGAATAAAATTCCCCATCTGTAAAGATTTGGAAGAAACAAAAAAGTATAAAGTACTTATTTTTAAAATGCAAAGACGTATCATAAGGAACAAATGGGGGTTGACATGCAAAAATAGAATTAGGAGAACAGTATCCAGTAACTTGGTTTAGGTGAGGAAAACCATCTCAGGTTGCACGTCAGTCCAGACGTACCTACAAAAACAGACGCATACTTTAGAGTTGGTTCAAACGGACACTTGCCTCTGCTCTCTTCAGCTCTTCCTTGCAAGCTTATGTTCGTCCCCTGGATAACCTATGGCAAACAATCATTTAAATAGGATGAAAAAAAACATTTGAGAAGTACTTTTCTGGTCTTTCATACTTCTATAGAAGAATTAGGAAAGCTTCTAATTTTCAATAGGAATATTTTGAGAAAGGTGGTCAAAGATCTGACATACTACTCAAGTATCTTCAGCAAAACCTGTATTCAAACATCATTACCATATAATCACAAGTTGGGTGATATGCGTTGGTTCCACAAACATATAAGTTAGAGTTATTTATCTTATGGAGGAAGAGGATGTAGTTCTGGCATCTTATCTAAAATAGAAAATAAAAATAAAATTTACATAGTGTAGTGGATGGCATCTGAAAATATCCTGATGTCTTAGCAGCAAGCAAACAAACCCAACAGATTTAAATGAACTTGCTTTGACTTCATTTATTAAAAAGAAGCTTGATAACGTAGCCATTTTCATTTTAGTTAATAAGTTAGAGGGGGAAACAGAAGGTCCTACCTTGTCCTTTCCTCTACGAATACATTCCAGTTGTCTTTCCTGCGTAGCAAACCAGTATTCCTAAAAGCCAAAAATACTTCTAAGTAATAATTTCACAAAATTGTGTGTAAAAAAATCCCTAAATAATCCTAACTTTGAACCTCTTGGGTAAATAAGCATTTTTCTATGTATCTTTGTAAAGTACAAGGCATAATAAATAACCTGAAGAGGGGTATTGCTTTGCTTAAAAGATTCTGTGATAACATTTCAAGCCTTCAAATAATAATAGTTTTATACGTTTAAAATCAGAACATTATGTTCAAATTAAGAAAACCACAGGCAAAGTATTTTTTTTTAAAGAATTTAATTTAATTTACCCTGGCTATTTCTCTAGAAATGTTATTCAAGTCAAGAGCAAACACTGCATCTCTGCCTCCAACAAACAAGGTGTCAGTTTCTTCATTCACAAGGAGAGTGGAAACATTGTATAATCCTTCTCTCATAAAAGTGTTTATATTTCCAGCTGTAAAACACAGAAGTTATTTTAAAAATATTTATCACTAGAATCTCAGTGTTATGTAATAAAGATTCCAGACTGAAAACAAATTGTAAGGAAACAAAGTTAAAAGCTTATACACATTTCCAGAACATTTTCTAAATAATATGAAAGTATTTGAATAAATGCATGGATATTCTTTTCCCAATTTAACACTGGAAAATAAACAACACTATTATTATTATTATTACCTATAAGCCAGAACCTCCAGCTACAACAAGTAGGTAAGTGCATCCGCAACATTTGAGGTGAAACAGTCCATAGCATTCTTCCTATGCCTAATAAAAAATAAACTCCCACCGCTGTGCTACGTTTCTTTCTGCTTGTGAAATTACCATTTTTCACTTACTTTGGTATTTTACTGTTTTTCTGGGAATGCAGTTCCCAACAGATGCGTTTGTCTCTTGTATTAATTGCAAAACAAGATAAAGGACAACAGCAGAGCTACCCATTTTCAGAGATTCAAGCAGAAATAAGCTCTTCCCACGTTTTATTCCTTGTCATTAAATAATTACAGGCAGCAATTTCTTCATGGTTCTTGAAAACGTCCTGCAGCAGCCCTCCAAAGTCAGTGTCTGTAGTCTTCAAATATTTTCTGAAACTTGTCAAAACCTATTACATTTTCCGTTCAGATAACTACTTCCAGACGTCCTAAAATTAAAAGCAGTTTAAGTTCACTCTAATATTTGGTTAACTTCATTTTTGTAAGAGCTGGACAACCATGCCCTTTTACAAGATTTTGTAGCTATTACCTCTATTTATACTAATTGGAAGCAGACACTACTCTGATGGCAATTCCAAGCTATTACCAGCAAACCAAGCTTGGCGCCAAGTCTGTGACTCTCATTTGCAAGCTGCGATGTTTCAGATTTTCTGCAGGGTATCTAAGTATTATTTCAGAAACAGTAAGAACAAGTGGCAACATTTTGCAGCAGTCAGCTATTTTAAGTATTTAAGAAAAATCATAGCTAAAACTGCTTTATTTACAGTAATTCACCATTTTTTATATAGATATTATATAAAAAAATATATATAAATATCAAATCAACCATATGCTATGAAAAAAGAATTTCTATTTTATTAAGTTAATTAGAATCAGGTACTCTTATGCCTGAATTTTGGCAGTCCATCTAAATGAACATGCCCTCCAGCCAACGCTAGAAAAGTGAGCAAAATTAAAGCGAGGTAGTTGTCATCCGCAATTACAGAAACCACAAAGCCAGATTCCAAATCTGCTTTCATAAAGAAGGGCATCTCTGCTCTTTCTGCACTTTCATCTGTAGGCAAATGCCAACAGCTGAGGAAAGTTTGCATTGGCGTAAGCCAAATAAAATATTGTTGGGGTTAGAGTACTTCTAAATGAGTAAATCAGGCTGGAAACTTCGGAAAACTACTAAATAACTTGTTACCCCCTGTATCGTAACCCAGGGTGTGAGTCTGCATAGACAGATGCTGCCCATGGGCCAAGACATTTCCTTGGCCAACAGCACCCATCTCCTCGGACACATGGTATTTGAAAACAGACTTTTTCCACTGTCTTATTTTATACTTTCCTGTGACCAGCTTTGTTCAGAGCACCTGGGACGGCTGGTCCTGGCAATAACGCACACCAGGAGTTTGCACCTGTCCTGTCCCATCACATCTTTGTTTCAGTGGACAAATCTTAATTCCGACCCTGGATTCCCACAGGACGTTTTGCTTTAACCCCTCCCCTGACGGGCACTTCTGGACTGCACATGTGGTGCAGCAGAGCCAAGGTGGCCCAGGCCTGAGGGACAGGAGGCGCGTGACTGCTTGCGGTCCCAGGCTCCCCAAACTACGCCCCAGCCCGGCATCACTCCACGGAGCCTCCTCACCCCTCTGGGGACGCCCCGCACACCCCGCCGTGCCCCAGCAGCCAACGCTGCTGCACCCGAGGCTGGACACCAGCCCCGCTCCCCCCGGCCCCCGCCCCCCCAACA